ATTTAGGGAAGAAAACGGGTGGGGCATATCAGGGAACAAATAAGATCGCAATATTTCTGTTAAATAAGAAAGTTACGAGGACAAGTTGGGTCGCGTACTCAAACCTTGGGAGAAGACACTGAAATAGGCTTTAATATAATCGCTTACCCCCGCCCGACCAAAGGCGAACGCGTGTATGTAGGGGGAGTGTGCCCTAACCTCGAGCGAGGTCATTTAGGTGCATTTTCTAGTGGAACCATCAACACCAACTAGAAAAAAGGTTAACGAAGTATAAAAGTGGCAATATTGTGGAAATCACCCTACTTAACATGTGTAAGTAAGCGGTTATTCCCGTGGTTAATTTAAAAGGCTAATTTCGCTTAGTATACTGACTTAAGCGGTTATGGTATGCGGTGACATTCGGAGGACCGCTTTGCAGTTCAATGCCATCATCAAATTTCTGCTGGATTGACGGATGGCGTGTTTAAAAACTGGAAAATCATGGGTAATTCAACCTACTTAAACATTTAAGTAGGTAGCTATAATACATAAGGACCTTTCGAAGACCCTACTTGGAATCCCTACCGTAATGGCTACCAAAGCTAGATTTGTGCTGCCCCAGTCTCTTTATGTCAATTCAACAAGGAGAACAACGAACAAGGTCGTAAGGAAAGGAATTCGTTTATTGTGTCACTTGAACGGAACTATATGACAAGGAAGCTTATAAATGGGACTCGATTGACTATCTGGCCGCCTCGTGTGACCTCGGCTCCTTCAAGGCGCGCCCGGACGCGCGCGGCATTTGTTTGTGGGCGGACCTATAACGTGACCTGAGGGCTCGCCAGGACAGCTCGTTACGAATACTCATAACACTTCCCTGATTGAGATAACTTGTAGGATTTGAGGCGCGGGTGGAACTGTGTGCGTTCTTTTTCGCCCTGATCGTCTAAGAGATCGAGAATATTGACTTGGCACTGTAAATGTGGGTTTTTGCCTTGTTTTTTGGCAAATCAAAAGTGTCAATTAGTAGTTCCAGGGATAAATGTGGGCTTGAATTTGTCGCGTCAGTACATTCGGTGTGTTCCAGCTGATTGGCGTGACGCGCCCAAACGTCTGAGCCGACCAGAATGTCGTAGACGACGCCACCACACTTTCGGTGAACATGCCCAAACGTCCACTTCTCCTGGTTGGTCCTATAATCCTTTGCCAGTACCATCTCGCCTAGATGGAACATCCGTTGCTTAGCCCCGTGACGTCGGTTGACTTTTCGTTCCACTGGCGTCTTCATCCCCAACACCGACAGATGACAGCGGGCGAATTACATCGAATGGTGTGTGAAGCTTTCTATGCATCAAAGCTTCTGCTAGAGTGACACCGTTTGGAGCGTCTGGGTTTGAGGTGGCTCGATAGTTCTGCAGGAACTGTTCAAGAGCTTTTTCAAGGCGCGCGGCCTTTTGGCGTGGGCGGACTGATAAAGTGACCTGAGGGCTCACCAGGGAAGCTCATTAGGAATACTCCTAACAGAACTCGCCTCGGGCGATTAAGAAAACTGTCTTTGTTCGACCCATAGACGTAGTGTTCGTAGAATTCAAACCGACTCCCCTTTGTTATGCAGTCGGCCTCGTGTGGCTCAGAGGATACCCTTTCATGGCCGTAGATAAAATTACATGGGTGTTTATTTGCTGATTGTGATGAGAGGTGACTTCTGCTCTGAGTTTCCTCTCAGTGTTTAGGTCTAAAATCCTTAAGCAGCACACCGTTCAGTTATATAAAGCTAAGTAAATCTTTCGTACAAGGTTTTAAGAGCCGCTTTGGTTACATCGCTCGTCTCCAGTCGTACTTAGAAAGGTCACCAAACCGTCATAGCTTGCATTTCTCTTTCCTTTTTTTGTTTAATACAAGTTAGTTTGTGCCTTTTTTCTGATAACTCTTTTTAACGGTCCGTGTCCATTTTTCTTGACCTGTAGCTTGCTTTTTGTCTATTTCAGGATTGCATCGTATTCTGCGGAGAACCAGATGACCCCTGAAAACCTCGCCCTCGTACTGGCCCCAAACATAATGTGGCCAGAACTGCCGACGGCGCAGTTTGATGCATACGCGCACGCCAGCTTTTGTGTCGCACACTTTGCCATTGTCAATGCTCCGAAGCTTTTCGAAGATCCACCTTCCCTTCCCACGACTTTCTGAGGTATTTAGTTAAACCAAACAAACATTTCTACTAATTAGGGTGTAAGTAGAAATTTACGCGCGCGCTCGCACTCCTACCCTCTTTCGTCTTCGCGTATCTACCTCAAAGGCAACCTATGATGGTAACTGACCCTTCAGTCTTGCGATTTCAACACCAGCCCCGCCCAGCAAAAGATTCCAGG